AGGCCGGCCAACCCCAGCCGCGGGCGTTGAGAAGCGCGGTGGTAGTGGGCGGGGAGAAGGAAAGAGGCGGCGCTGACCGTCTCTCAGAGCGAGACGAGGGAGAGTTTATCTTCGTCTGTAACTGAATTGCTTGCTCCTCCTGCAGATCGTAAAAGAGCTGTTAGGCCAGCGTTTTTCAATCTTGGCAACTTTAAGATGGGTGGACTTCAACTCCCAGAATTCCCCAGCCAGCTCTGGGAGTTGAAGTCCACCCATCTTAAAGTTGCCAAGGTTCAGAAACACTGTGTTAGATTTAATAGCAGCAGAAGGTTGACCAATTTGTTTTGCACATGCTTTCCTAAATCACAGGATCACACTGTATTAGGTCCTGGGAATACACTCCTAAGAAAATCCCTTCCCTTTCCTCCTTTCCTCTTGACTGTATCCTGGCTTCTGCTGAAGCAGGCTGCGACCCGTGAAGGCCTATGGAATAAGATGCCAGAAGGCTTTGCAAATTGATTGGGATATCGCATCGGAGGAAATAGATGCGACATCCTTTCCTCCTATTCCCAGATCCAACCAGTTTGCAAAACAATGCTAAGGCTAAGGCTTCCTGGTTTCCTTCATAAGACAAGTTAATAAAGAAGAAAAACCCTTTGAAAATGTTCCTCACTGAAGACTTTCGGGTGAACTAAGCAGTGATAGGAATCTGGAGGGGTTGGGGTTGGGTGAACAACTGAAAACAAAGAGTTTATAAAGGCACAATTTTCACAATGAAGGGAAGTAAGAAACAGGGTCTGCTTTGAGGATGTGCTTTGGGCCAGGTGCTATTCAACTTATTCAGTTGAATAAGAGTCAGACATCTAAGGAGGTGGAAAAACTTGCAGAAGACATAAATTAGGTAAGATGGTGAGGATACATATGGACTGTGATCCAAAGTCATTCCTCTAAACTTGGTGATTGGACCACTAAGTGGAAAATGCAATTTAGTGTTTGCTAGGAATCCATGCTTTGCTTATAAAATGATACGGACTTAACTGTCACAGCTAACCAAGAAAGAGAAGAGATCTGGAGTTGTTGTACCTAGTTCAGCAAAATCACCTACATGATATTTTAATGCCCATAATAATCTGCTGTGGCCATATCTAGAATACAATGCACAATTCCGATTGTCACGTCTCACAAGGGATGTCGTGGAGGTGGAGAAGGTGCAGAAAAGGGCAGCCAAGATGACAGGAAGGCTTGAAAACCTTAGGAGACAGTGGTTGGGGCTGTTTAGCTCAGAGAAAAGATGTTTACGAGAAGATTGCTTGGGTCTTATGCTACCCATGATAAAGAAAGAATGCCAGTCCTTCCCAAGAGTTGGCTGGTTTATACACCAGAACAAGTCCGCTCCCATGAATGTTGCTACTTGCTCTTTAACTGAAGATTATTGTTCAAATGGGTGTGTGTGTGTGTGATTTCAGAGATTTGCCTCAGGCCCAGAGTGCTCTCCTAATACCCTTGTTGGTAAATTAAAAATAGACATAGAAGTGAATTAGGAAGTTTGTTTATTTACAAAGTTAGAGCTAATTTGAGATTTTTAAAAAATGTAAATAAAAGCCAAATTGGATAGAAAGTTAGCAGAATGTTAGTAGGGATATGTAGCTATTGGGGTCTGAAGTGAGAAAGATGCTTCAGGTTAGGGTTAGCTAACCTAATTCAATTAACTCATAAATAAATAAATAAAAATAATTCAGCAGCTCCGTAAAGTAATGGACTCATGCAGTCCCAGGAAAATGCAAGAAAGCAATGAAGAAGCATTAAGGAGGTGGCAACAGGGCTATGTAAGTATAATTATGAGAGTCTGATTGCTAAACCCTAGCTGAAATAAAATATTAATCACCTTCCACCAAATTATTTTTAGAACGTCCTAATTCAAGAGTATCAAGATAAGGCAAATCACGCAGCTCCCTTTTTGTTCAATGTATGTACATGAAATAGGATTTTCCCATTATGTTGCAACCAAAAGCAATGACAGATATTGATTTTTTTTTTAATAAAATTTTTTATTCTTTACAACAAACACAAAACATACATAAACAAACAAAAACATACAAAGG